ATGAAGATTGAGATAACCTGTTAACTCTTCTCGCCACCCAACCTTCTCTTGGATAGCTGATCTCGGTCGGGTCTGTGCAAGTAGACTAGACATACTCCTAGTTCATTGTGGAGCCTTACCTTTATCCACTGATTGAGTTGTAGGCTGGCGCTGATAGTATCGCTCAAGGTAGGAATGTAGAGACCTTTCGTATACTGTATACCAGTCCGCATCATCACCAGCCCAGTCTGCTCCCTTAAAGTAGTCAAGCTTATATATAGGGGTAAGGATCGTCCCTATTGTATAAAGATGCCTATAAGCCTTCTCAGTATCCTTATAGTAAGTTGCAAGCTTCTGTTCTCCAGCCTTTAAAGCACAAAGTATCGCCTTTTTCTAAGGAACCTTCTTCCGGTATAGGCGCTTCTAGGAGTCTTTAAAATGTCCAAACAGTCTGTTATATACCTCGAACACGCAATAAATAGTGACATCCTTAACCTTAGATAGTCCGACTGTCTATATATAAAAAGGTTTTATAATATAAAGTAGGTATTCAACCTGCCGCTACTCTTATACACTTAGCTGGAACCGAAGCTGGTTATATAGAGTATAGTACCTATTAAATATAGCGGACAGACGATTTGCGCGCTGAAGCATTAGGTATATTGAATTCTAGCGGGTACGTATATCTTATATTGGTACGAGCTTCGGCTCAGTGTCTTATAGTATTAGAAAGAACTCCCGTCGTTAGGGACTAGCGTTGATATAGACTATAAAAGCACGGATCTAGAAATAGTATAAGTATGCTTTAATAAAGATTTTGAATAACTAACCTTTACAAGTATATAGATGATTTCTTTCTCAGATTTGGCCTTTTGAAGAGCCGACTTGTTCTCTTCCTCCGACCAGATAGTATCGGCGGTATTATTATTTGGGTTGGCTTTTATCAATCTAAGGAGGTCCTTTAAGCTGAGCTGAATTATATAGGCAAGGCATAGAATTCGTACAACTCGTGTGCTATCTGGGAGATTGAGCTATTCGATCGACTGGTAAAGGCTCTCTATAAGCGTTTTATTGTTAGAGGCGTTATCGGTAGTTACCGTAAGCACTCTATCAATAATATTATACTACTGTAGTACATCCTATAGTATCTCACTCAGGTAACTACCAGTATGCTGACTATATACTGGCTCAAAGCCTAGTAGTATCTTATGATAATTCTAGCTAGAATCCACAAAATAGCCAGTAATTGCTATAAACGCTTATTGAAAAGGTAAAGTCCAGCAGTCAAGTGCTATTGAAAGCTTAGCATTCTTTGGTAAAAGAGAAAGGGCCTTTTGATGATCCCCCTTAACTATCATTTGTAGGCGACGCCGTACTGTCTTAGGAGTCAAGATTGGAGGTATATCTTTTAAGAGGCGAGCAAATCGAACAAATTCAAATATTTCCGGCCTTTCGAGGAACTGGAAGGGGAGCTGATATATTGTAATTAAATTGATTTGAATTCGTTCCCAATCCTTAGTATTAAAAGTGGTCTTCTGCTCCGAAGGACACTCGGACTAAGATATATTAAATTAGTATATAGTTCGTTTTAAGATATAATAGTATATATTACCGCAAACTATAGCGATTGCCTTAATATCTACTGAAGAGAAGAACTCCTTCCACCCTACTGACAGGTCTTGCTCTTACGGTGCTTTTTTAATAAGTGAAGACCTCTAGACTGTAATAGATAAGGAATCGCCTTTCCACATCGTCGACAAAGTACTATCGGCTATCCAGTCTGATAGTATACGACCTAGTCGAAGTGCTCCCAATATAGTGATATATAATTCGCTTCAAAGTTCACTTTACGTCGTGAAGTATTTGGTTAGGCGTGTATAGTGTGTCGCTACCACTCAATAAATTGTGTTTTGTTCATCTTCGTATAGCATACCCAAAGCTTCTTGGCTCCAGGGCCAATTCGTTCGAGGGTTGTTAGAGCAGTGATAGTATGTAGAGTCTGGAACTCTAGAATACTAAGGATTGAGGGGGCTTCGGGATTTGGTGTTTATTGGCTGATTGACTGGTCAGGAGTAAGGGGATTATATATTAAATCGTATAAAAGAAAGTCGCAGTCGGTAAGGCGGTCTAGATATCCAATTTGCGATAAAGATACCTACGAAGAAGGGCCAGCCTCAGCGTACTGTCCAAAATGTAACATATTGAAGGTTAAGGGCAAATAGTATATATAGGTATATAGTATAAGGTAAAGGGGAAAACAGAAGCACAAATAGCCTACCTAGACAAAATCTACGACCGACATAACTAACAATAAATAGGGAGGGTATCTACTATATTAGTATAGTGGTAGATAGATCATAAAGCCGAATATAGATCTCGATATCTATTGGCTATTCACCTCCGACTCCCATAATAGCCCCACCGTAGTGCTATAGCACTCCCGCAGTACTCCCGCAGCACTCCCACAGTACTCCCGCAGCACTACGATATAGTGCTATGATATAATATATTTCGGGGTCTACATTATCCCCTTATTCTATATAGCTGCCTAAAGTCCTATATTCTGACCTCGGTCAGAAAATAGACAGTATATTAAGTTAGTATACAAAGCCTTCTACACCCTATATTTCTGACCTCGGTCAGAAAATAGATAGTTATGTCAAATCATTATACAAAGCCTTCTACGCCTCATATTTCTGACCGAGGTCAGAAAATAGACAGTATATCAAGTTATTATACAAAGCCTATATAGTATATTAATTATAAAGATCAAAATAAGATATAAGGTAATTCATCCGGTCGCAGCACTATACTATTTAAAAAAAGGGTGAAATATAGGCTTTTACTGTAGAAAAATAAAATCGAAACTACAAGGTACAAACTAGAAGGTATATATATAGAGTTAATATATATATCCACATACAATACCAGTACATTCTCTTCCAGATAATATCAACCACTAATTCTATACTGTTTTGGGCTGATTTTACTTTGAATCTACATTTGTATAGGACTTGAAGCTTTTAATCTATTTCTTGAACGTGAGTTGATACGAATCTTAGCAGTGAGTGACCATAACTAGACTGCGACAACGCCCGTTTTTGTGGAGACATTTTTAGCGTCGCCAAGACATATGCGGGCACTCTTGGCACGGTGGGTACTGCCAAGAACTAGTTATGTACATAAAATCGCCGAATAGGGTAATTTTTGCATTATTTTTGCATAAGGATGGGCGATGGGCGTCGAATTTCAAAAGGCCCACGGGCCGTGGACACTTTCTAGTGCCCATGGACGGGCGATGTCGCAGTCTAACCATAACTACCTCCCAATGCCAATACATGTGTAAAAAACAGTAATTTATCAAAATAAGTCAGCATTTTATCCATCCATTTTGGGTAATGCTTGGCAGAATTATGCTAGCGCAGCACTAAAACTGGTGCTGCGACGGTGCTGCAGCACTTAGTGCCGCAGCACCATACAACAGCACCAAAATTGGCTTAGTCCCGCAGCACCTCGCAGCACCATATCGCAGCACCAAAATTGCCTTGGTGCTGCGGGACTTGTCAAGGCCTACATACCACCGGAGCCTAGGTCTTTTCACACAGCAATCTCTAGAGGTGCTTGCATCTTTCACCACACTCGAGCTTCGAGGAACGCCGTCAGAAGCACGTCGTCAATTTAACGCGGTTAACCCCATCGGCCCCAACGCACTCTAGGCTCGGTTGAACGTTCATGTGCGCATGCGTGGACATTTTAGTGATTATAAACATCCTCATTAGAGGAAATCCATCAGCTCAGCTATTCTGGGGGATGTTGAAAATCCATGTTTATGCACCCCCTGTTTACCCTTCCACGAGTTTTTGACACAAAGTGAATTGGTGGTGGTATTTTTACGAAGACCAGGAGCCATGGTATACTCTGACACTATACGAGGCACCCTTCTTAGAGAGCTGTGTGTCATCGGGATTTTGTGTATATTTTGAAATCATGTGGAAGCTTGGGCCGATTCCTGACGTTGAGGCTGTGCAAAACGTTTATAAAGCCGGTCAAAATTTAACTAACTGTGTTGGTTGGATGGCACGGTGTGTGAATGAATAAGATGGTTGGAATGGCGACACTAATCGCTGTAATGGCCATGATTAAATCGCAGCTTTTAAGACAAGCCTGTGACTGTTGCGTTCTTGACCTGTATCAATTGCATCTTTTGCACGCTCAAACCTCCCATCATCACTTTACTTTGAACAACGGGATCTTTCAAATCAACTAAGGCGTGTATGTTAGATTTTCGTAGATACCAAAAGCAGGTGATATTTCAAATCAGTCTTGTTGAGTGTTGAGATCAGCTAGTCAAAAGTCGTTTGTTCTGCGGTTTTCTTGGAGGATTGGTATTGTGCCCACAAACCAAGAAAAGCGGTCTAACGTGCTGAATTCTAAATGCCTGGCTACACGAAGCCTCTTGAAACGTCGTATGATACGGTATTGAGCCCAATGTGTACATTACCTTACTTCTGCGGTTAGTTTCTTTGCTCTTACGTAATCGTGGCTGTGGCGATGCAAAATTGTATCGATCTGTAAAATGTATCGTAAGTTATATTCGGTTTGCTGTATTGGGGTTTCCACAAATATCCAAGTGCAATTGCATACAGTGTCATTTCTCCTTTTAATTGGTATCATCTCTGAGGAATTCTGGGCATACTGTAGACCCCTAGTTCATGTCATGACTTTTCTGATCGAAGGGTTTGGGCTTGTTGGAGGGGGAGATGGTCGACTAGAGAGCAAGAAAAGGACAACCTAGAATGTCTTTACTCCGCGGGCGTTTCAATTGGGTAGAATCTGAAAAAAGGTGCTAAACCCCATGCATTATACTGCCACTTGATCATCTTCTACGCCCTGGTTTGTAGAGAAATTATCGGATGTACATTGTGAATAGAACAGAAAAGGTATATGAAGCAATTATGCTATGGCGCCATTTCCCAGTAAAGCATACTCGAAGGCTTTTTTTTCTTCGATCCCGAGAAAACCTAGAAACCCGCCTGAATACGTTGGGCTTCTGTAAAGTAGCGAACATGGTGGACATCTTCCGCATGGCGTTTGAGCGCTTTATGTCCACTCAACACAAGCTGGCAATATCTGTCAGGACAGGTTATGAGCTCAGTTGGCTTGTATTTCCGAAGATGCTTTTCGAAATGTTCTCGAGCTTTTCGGGATGAGGCAAAGTAGCACTGGTACTGCGGTTCAAAAATGCAGAAAAGGCAATGTCGATTGGTGAGCGAGATGGGACAGCCTCGGGGTTCTGGTGATGAAGAGGACTCTGTTTCCGCCGAAGGCAGTTCTTTTGGTAGCGAAACTATGTTGCTGCCGATGGCATATTCGGTTTGTCTCTCAGGGTTAAATCTTTCGGGTGGTACTTTCCGAACATGGCCAAGCTCAATCAGAGCATTGACCAGAGTGACTCGCTGTGCCATATCATTTTTCTCTGAAAGATCTTGCATGGATATTTGCATCAATTCCGCTACCTGACGACGCTCATCCAAACGATGAACGATCTTCTCGGGCGCATAAGCCTGCTTGTCAATATCCAAAAGCGAGGGATCGAGCTGTCTGTTGATCTCAAGAGTATCGATCGTGGAAAAGAATTCACCACGAGCTCCTTCAAATGTGTCTTTCTTCAATTTTGCCTTGGCACATCGCAATGCAGCTTCCGTCTTGGCTTTGAGCTCTCCAATTTTGGTGCCAGCCGCGTTCTTCATAGATCCATACATCTCTTTGGCTTCTTTGGCAAGAGAATCGCGCATTTCTTGCAGGCCAACTATCTCAGGGTGAGTTGAAAGTGAAGCTCGCGTAGTGGCAGGCAAATCGTCGTAATGAGAAGGAGCTCGAGGGTCGATATAGCGGCTTTGGTGACTCAGAATGTTCATCAATGCGTCCTCCGAAGGTATCCCAAGAAATGCGGCTTGAACATGGGACTGGACACGCTGATTCATATATGTCTGAAAGGTGCTAGCATATACATGGCCCATCACCTGTTGGAGCAAAGGAAGAGGTGCAGTTTCTGAACAGAGTGCCTGCGTCAGCTTTGGAAGTACAATTTATGTTGTATGGGAACTTACTTTCAACAGCCTCACCGGTGCCACGCCGGAGATCGTAAGGTTTCATAGCACGGGGCATGCCCACTGCGAGACTCAACCTTTCAAGATAATATAGATACGTGTGGTATTTGAGGGGTTTGATCTCATGGGTGCTGATACCACAATGGGTCGATATTGGCTGACGGCAGATAGGCAAATTGAGCTTTTCTTTCACAAACCTCAACTGCAAGGAGTGGCGCGGCGATTCTACCCGGGAGGCAAAAATGTCCTCGATCGAGCGAATTTTGCTCTCGAACGCTCCATCGAGGAAGGCCATAGCGACCACAAGCATGGCAATGTCAAAGAATGGCTGTTTCACTTCAGACATTAAGAATATTTTCCTTCACCATGCGATCAGCCTCGCATAGGAAAGGCAGGGTACCTAATGGATCTTCACTCACTTTTTTGGTCTTTTATCATGGCCCTTGGTATGTTTTAAATCAACTTCCATCACGAGATGATCACGGATACCACCAGGATTCGGTAGAAGTATCAGGCTTATCTGGCCGTAGCAAAGTGTTTTTAGATCCTCGTCTCTGAGATCCCATTCATCCATTTTATCGGTTTCAGTAGCGTCAACCTCACTCACACTTCCAAAGAAGCGCTGGACATTAGTCTGCTCGTTCTTTTCAACATACACCAATGCCCCCGGTCGGCTTGCAGTATAAGCCGACACGAGTAAGACGAAAGCGAGCTGGATGATTTGCCGGCCGTCCGGATATGGCGTAGTATCTTTCGTCCAGTGGTAATGAAGCACAATGTACAAATCATCGACGTTCATGACGGGCTTTTCCTCAACAGACCTATCCAGATTGAAACGTTCAACTAGGTCTTTGTTCATGTACTATCACCCTTCTGTCAGAAAATAAAAAGAGCAGAGAGCAAGAAAAACCCACATCATTGATATCCTGGCAGCTTTTCGCGTGGAGGCTACGCCCCACCGCTTTGCGATAGAGCTGGCACCATAACCGCCAGTTCTCGTGCAGGCTGCTGAACTATTTTATTTTAGAGTTGTGCAGTATCCACTCAAGAAATATCATCACATCCTCTTTCCTTGCTGCGTGGAGAGACTTCAAGTACTCCTTTTTCCCTAGAAAGTCACAATGCCTGGGCTTTGATCAGCGCGATATTCCGGGATATGATAAGAAAAGACGCCTACTTAATCCATCTTCTCTTGATGTATTCAATGTTGTTCTTCGTGGATACAGCATGTCGCTTTTGAATTATGCTCTTCTCTAGTTGTCGGCGGCGCTGAACATAATACTCCGGGCTAGGTACTATCTTTGCCTTCATGCGGGAAGCGTAAGAGTCTGAAACAGTCATGGCTTCAGGTAGCAATAAGCCTAGCAGATGCCAGAGAATAGTGGCACACTTCAGGAAACTGAATGGGAAAGAAGCTGGTTGGTATGGCGATAATGACAGTTGCCCAGAAGGAAGGTTGGAGAGATACAATGTAGAAAAGACTGTTGCTGGTGAGTTGGACTGTAGAAAGGCTACGAGATGATGGGGAGGGGGGGGCGACCATTTAAATATTGAGAACCGGTCTTGATGGCTCCGCAAGACAGACGATTTATCATCTTTGTCTGGAGCGGCTACAAACGGACTGAAGGATACTGAGCATCACGTCATCACTGATCAATTGCCCTGAGCATACTGAGTGAAGGGTGAGCAGATCACTGAGCAGCCCTGAGTGCTCAGTGATCAAAAGTACATTATGCACACGTGATGTTATGATGACTAAGATTTTGGTAAAAAGGGAGCTTAAACCGGCGTCCAAGGTAGCCATTTACGGCAGCCGATTTACCGTCAATTAGCGTTGTGGTGAAAATTTTGTACGCATTCATATATAATCGATTGAATTGCTGCCCAACCTCCATTTTTTTCGAACGACCCGTAGAATATACAGACACGATATCACTTAGTTGCAGGATAAAAAGAGCGAGATGAATGTGAATGTGAAATGTCAGATTCGATATGTATTTTCCCAATTTCCAGGATAAAAGTACAAGATGCGCCAACCTACAAGCCTAACACGTGTCCCGGGGGTCTGCTTCCGCATGTGGTAAACAGTCCGCGGTAACGTGCAGATATAACAAAGAAACTCGACATCTCCATCTGAGCTATGACCGCCTCATGAATTTTTGGTGGGATTAGCTGAAAGAAGGGGAAAATGATGTCAATGCTCAAAGTCCAGAACATAAGCACAAGAAGTGGATAATAAATTAAAACAAATTGAATTGCGGGATGAGGTGACAGGTATGGCTGAATGCCTAAACGGGCACGGATAGCTGGTTCTCTTTGTTTTTGATCCATCAAACCGTTGAGTGAGAGGTGAGCCATCCGCTGTTCTCCTATTTGTCAGTCTTGTGGGCAGTTTCAGCTCGAGTCACTGAGTTTATTGGTCTAGATAACATGCCCTTTTGCCGAATAGAGAAGACTCAGTGGGCGGCATTAATCCCCGTAAACACCTTTCCGTGACCCCGATGAGTTCAGTTGAGTGGAAATTGCAGCACTCTCCACACAAATCCACTGAAGAATCAGCTGAGCATTGCAGGTATGCTACATATGAGCCACATTACAATGCTACGTGGAATACTTCCCCTGTTCTTTCGACATGACTTGGAAATGGCTGTATTTAGCTTCTGACACTCGCTAGTTGAACAACATTATATTGACACGATCTCACTTTCCCATCTAAAGAAGATACCGGAAACTCTCGATCTCACGATCAGTCTTGTTCGATAGTTCATCCTGCAACTCAGCGCCTACGGTGATCTGCTCAGCTGAACCGTACAACTTGTCTCGTCGACGATTCTCCCACGTGTAGTAGGAGTATAAGCATAGAAGGAAGAAAAGGCTCAGAATTAAACCTGACATAGAAGCCTTGATACCAGTCTATAGTAAAGAGCCATGGCGTCAGTTTTGTATTTTGCGACAAACACCCCAATCGGAATAAAATGGCCACTTACTGGGTACGATGGCTCCTCCGAAGCGAGGAAAAATTGAGGGCCCACGATATTTCCAACGCAGTATGCGATGAAAAGTAGCGAACTCACGACACTCTTCTTCGAAAATCCAGCGACATTCGATGTAACGATACTCAACGAGATGGGAAGGTTGATCGCATAGACGACAGCTAACGTCAATCCAACCATTCGCCCGGCTTGGTCGTCGGGATTAAGCTTCCAGATGAGGATCAATCCCACAATAGAAATAATAGTATTGAGGCACATTCCTAATATACGGGAAGATGGAATGAAAGTCGCGGTGATGGAGGTAATCAGCAAAAACACGATCTGGGCGGCACCCTGAGGCATTTGCATAATAAGGGCCTTGAGATCAGTGAAGCCGAACCCGGCGGTGATAATCGACGTAAACTGGAACAGCATTAGCTTTGAACTCTAGGGACAAGAAGGGAAATACCCACGCTAGTAAGACCACCATTGGCCAGGTTCGACGCGAAAGAGTTGAGAACCAAAAGCCATGTCTGGGGATCTTTTATGGCTTGAACAGCCTGTGACCACTTGAACACACCGGTATCCATGACTCCGGTTTTGTTCTTCAGAGTGCGCTGCACAGCAATAGCACGCTCATTGGGTTTCAGAAATATAGCCTTGGCAGGCGAGTCCGGCAGCAAGACGAACAATACAAGACCATAAGTCGAAGTGAGGGCGCCGAGAATAAGGAACAAGAGTTTCCAGTGGGCAATGACTGTCGTGTTAATAGTGCCGATACCGTAGGCAATCACACCACCAATGAGTACAGCAATACAGTTTCCGAAGAACCAGGCAGATTGTCTAAAGCTTGTTAGTGAGTCCTTGGTCCACCTCGATTTGGAAAGCTTACCGTAGAGGTTGTTCCTTACGTTTATAAAACATTCCCGTGAGCAACGTGAAGCCCGGTGCAATCGCCGCCTCACCTACTCCTAAGAAGAAACGGACGGTCATAAGCCCACTCCAATTAGAGCAAGCAGCATGGCACATCAGGATCCCGCCCCAAAGGAAACTTTTCTTGTCAGTCTCATCGTCGGCGGTATGAATTCTTCAGTGGGGAAAACATACACTGAGACTGAAATGTATTTCCCAATAGGAAGTCGGACAATAATATATGAACTGGGCCTATTGTCGGATTAGTATTGGCGATGAGAGGTAGAGAGAGGTAGAGGAGATTTGAATACATACCAACTCCAGGCAAAGTAACCAAAATAGAAGATCGCAGATGCCCATGAATATTCTGATCCTTTCAAGTTCTATAACTTTCCATCAGCATACCTCCGTCGATGAACAGTTGTATGGGAGGAAATACCAAATCTTCTCGTAAATTGAATAGTGTGGCCTGACTTAGAGCAAGCTTGTCGAGGAATTGGAGGAAATATGCGATTCCCATTAACGGGACCAGACTAGATTGGATCAGATACATGCACACATAAGTATAACCAGCGGGAATACTCACATAAGATCCAGCTTCCACAACACCTTTCGTTCCTCTTTAGTCGTTGGTTGGATAGCGAGTACTTGGCCAAGATCGAGGTCCCGGCCAAGTGACTCACCTCCTTCCTTCATATCCTTCTCATCTAGGTTGATCTCGTAGGTTTGCATCGCGAAAATTAAACAAAAGCAATTCGACTACATGAGGCACACCCATTGCCTTCTTATTCAAAATCCCCTCACACAGCCGGTATCGCTCTCAACTTCCTCGCCACAAAATCTGCCCAACAAAGTTCGCTTGAACTTACTATTCCCAAAGCCCCGGTGGGTTTCCCGCGGTGGGCCCTAAGCCATCATTAAAGGGGAGTCTCAAATCTCTCGACCAATTGAGACAGATAGTTTAGTTTTAAGATTGTTATCAGAATTTCCCCGCGATGCCAATCCGGGAGAACAGGCGAGGCTGCTAATCGCTCGGCACCCCACTTCCCATAAATCGGGTGTCCGTCAATTAAAACCTGGGGATTGTAAGTCAGCACGAGCCGGTCTAGGGGGGACATCCACTTCCCCCGCAGCGGATGCTAACCACGGCAATTGAGTGCGCCGTCGATCGTCGGCATCTGACATAGATACCTGGTTATCTATGAACACGAGGCTGCTGAGATGCGCTACAAAGGCCGCGCTCTTCCGCAACAATTGCTAATCGTCATTATACTGATAGGGAAACCTGCTCATGTGTTGTCAATGACGATGTGTCATGCACTAACATTTCAATTTCAAAGGTCTCACACAAAATGCGAGAGCACGCTAAACTAAGCCTAGTATTCACAACTCCAAGCCTTTCTCAAAATCTGATTGGATGGCAGTGGCGAAACTCTCATCGACTAATGTCCGGCACGCCACCACGGCCATTCCCGCTGCACAGTGCAAACTACGCTTGAACCCATCTTCAGATCCAGCCCCGGCAGTAAATTGTGGTGTGTGGTTGACACCATCGGCATGAATATAGAATCCACCGTGGAAGCCAGGTACTTCATATGAGACGTTGCCTATATCGGAGTGAATATTCAGCTTCTGGCTACACTGTAATGATTCCAATACTCACCCATATCGGTTGACCCTCCGCTAAGACCTCCTACCTGCCCCACGGCATCGAAGATAGTATTGTGGCCCATAGCGTTCATAGCAGAGACGTAACTATCACAGATAGGCTTATTGATCTTCATATCCTTATACGCGGCCTCCCTAGACAATGGGTTAGCGAAGTGTAATCAATAGAACACTCCCAATTATTATACCATTTGAATTCCACCGTACAGCCAGTCGCAATCGCAGCAGCCTCAAAACATTTGAGCACTTTCTCCGTCAATGGTTTCAATGTCTTCACGGTCTCAGATCGCATATAGTATTCAACCGTCGTAGAGGCAGGAATAACATTCGGTCTCTCTCCACCTCGAGAAATAACCCCATGAATCTTCTGCGTAGGCAAGATCTGCTGTCGCAACATTGAAATGTTCACATACGCAGACACCACAGCATCTAGAGCATTGACGCCCTCCCACGGCGCAGCCGACGCATGCGCCGGTTTGCCAGTGAATGTCACCTGAACTTTGTCGTTGGCGAGATACATCCCCGTGCACGAACTGGAACTAATAAGATCCGGGGCGCCGGAAAGTACCGGAAATGGATGGACCATGAAGCATGCGTCCACGTCTTTGTATGCGCCCGCGTCAATGAGCAAGAGCTTTCCACCACCGCCCTCCTCGGCAGGTGTCCCCAGCAACCGAACCGAATAGCCAAGTCCATCCGAGTACAGAGTAGCCATTGCCTCACATGTAGCAAGGAAGGCTGCGATAGAACTCGTAGCGATCAGATTGTGGCCACATGCATGTCCCATGCCGGGAAGGGCATCGTATTCTGCGTTGAACGCCACGATACGTCCGCCCTCGCCGCGGGTATAAATCACCTCGAGCGCAGTCTCAACTCCATAGGCCTTTCTATTAACCTGGTATCCAGCATCGAGTGACTCGAAGAATTCGCAGATATTGTCGCGGGCGTTGTACTCCTTGAATGCCAGCTCGGGATTCGACCAGATCTATTGAACGTTAATAAAGTATGTCATGGTGTGCTTGCCGAATATCATACACACCTTCTGGTTGATCTCACTGAGCTTAGATTCATACTTATCTAAGACCCCACAAACATTGTGGATGATCTCTGCTTGTCCCTGTACTGGCAACATTTTGTTCAATCGCGAAAGAATTGGAATTGTCCACGAATTCCGGGACTGGGCAACGCAACCTTAAAAGGCAAAGAGGCAAGAAAGACCAGCCAAAAAAGGAACCCCGTGCCGAATATCATCTCCGAAGATAAGACGTCAAGACACATCCCAAGTGGGGTGGAGCGGGGGTTGTTTAAAAGGATTCCGCAGTGGAGAAGCAAAGCACGTCCATCCATCCCATTCTATTATGCAATCTACACTTCACCCACTAATCTCCAGAATAACCAGACCCAGTAAACAGACTTGCAGAATGGGCCTGGATAGGTCTCTGGTCCAAAAAGATACGCATTTCAACGATCTGCAGATCCGACTCATCACGACCTTCCAGATCGAGGATATTGAATTCTCGGACTCGAACTGCGAACTGGTCAGGGTCCTCTTTAAATGTTGTTTCGGATGTTGCTTCGAACATAACTGTGCGTTTCACCTGAATGTTCCCTGCTAGGGGTGCATAGAGCTGTCCCTTTTGTGCGGCTTCTTCGTTTGGAGCGGTCCTGTTATACGATGTTTGCACAGGGCCTATGTCCCTCCCAAGGTCTATATCCCAGGCGAGATGGATATGGTGGTGGAATTTGCAGATGTGATGGCTGCGTACTTCCATGAGAGGGACTGCTTGGCTTGCGGCTGTTGGTGGATCGCTACCGATGAGGATGGGAGCGCTGGGTGTGAAGAAAGGGCTAATGGGATTTTCGGCGGGAGTGAGGGAGTCTAGTGCTGGTAGGAATCTCTGGAGGAATTTAAGACCTGGTGAGGCTGTGGTAGGAATAGCCTCATAGGAGCCATGGTGGATTGAGACGTTGCTTTCCATGCTGCATCTACTACGAGAGAAACACTTTTAGATCTAAATATGTTCCAGGTGATTTTGGTATCTGATGATATGTCATGGCGACGTAATATTGTCATTGAAAGAGTTACATCATGAGGCTGATAATCAACAAATCGTCGGTGTCCATAGACGACATTAAATTAGTATTGCCAACGTAAATCTGGCACACGTGAACAATGCAGTCCAATGGTGGATCTGGTGGAATTTTGCAGTGGTTTGGTTGAACCACATAGTATATTGTACAGGCAGCAGGAATTGACAGTAAGGCTGGTCGAATCTCGTGCTGGGATGCAGGGATCGGTGGGCATCAGATTATTGATGCGCCGAAAGAGCTGCGCAGATTTTTCATTGCGCGAGCGAGGTGAACCAAGGGATTCCCGTTCCAATAGGCGGGATTATGGGTTGTTGTTGTTATTTTTTTTGCCAACGTGAGGCGATTTCCCTGTGAGCAGATGAAGCAGCAAAATTGCGTCCATACTCATGAAAATCCGCGACATCTGTGGTAAGCAGAAAGCCGGTTGGGAGAGTGAACAGCCAAAGTTTGATTGGTTGTGCTCGTGGAAATTATTTAGACCGTTGGTCTAAGTGATAGAAAAATTCAAAACCACCAGTCTGGTCTCAAGATGGATGCGTGCTGTCGTCGGTCGACTGTGTAGATGGACGAATCCTGCGCTCAGAACTGGGCAAACTCTCCATAGACAACGTATTCCACCCTCTTCGGACTCCCGGTCGCAATTCCCGCGGGGCCGCATGAGTGATATCAGATGTAATCTGGGAAGGATCCACGAAGCCAGGATATTCTTCGTGTTCGGACGAAGTGGGTTGCGATCTATGAGTTTGCACAAGGTCGACAAGCTTTCCGAGCACACCGAACTCGAGCTTCAACTTTATACTGTAGGCCATAGCCTTCAACGTGGTCTGCAGCGAGTAAAGTCCAATGTACTCCACAAGGAGTAAACAAATATCAAGCAATATGATGACAAAATTGATAGTCAGCAACTCATACATGATTCTGGATCGTCGTCGGTCCTTGTCTGGCATCATTCTGAGCAGCTTCACGGTTTCGACGATGTAGATTCCCGAGATGAGAATCTCTTGGGCACAGAACCAGGCCAATTGCATTCGCTCCATCACATTGTATCCGACAATCATTGACGGATCTCCGACGAACGCGGTACAGAAAGTAAGAACAGTCGTTGGGATCAAGAGAATGATCGCGTCGATGATAATCAGCCACAGAACAAATCGAAGCACCTTATTGTTGTTGACCACCAAATGAAGACGAGAGTATAGAACCAGCGATTGGCCCGGGACCATGATGTAGAAGCCAATAGTGGAGATGGTTAAAGAGAGCCATAATGGCGCTAGAGTAAAAAACCCCAGCAGGTAGCCAATGGCGTGAGGGACTACTCCGAGGGTTACCGAGAGCAGAAGCGTCCAAAAATAAAGTCCTCGATAACGGGTGAATGTTAAAAATAGCAATATTAACAATTCAATGGCGTTGTATAATGCAATGGAGGTGAAAACAATCATCAATGTCCGCACTGCCACATTATTGTCACGGTAGCCGTGTATCCCGTCGGGAGATTGGGATAGGTTTGTCATGGCGACTTGAACCAGCCTGGCTGGGATATAAATTCAATGTTGATATTTGAAAGACCGTAGGGAGGATATTTCATGCCCCGCTTAGTGAGAACCCAGGTACTCCGTACACTTTGCTTGAAATGTACGAGCTCCGTAGCCATCATAGTTGTGCTAGTCCGAGCAAATCATTTGCGCTAACCGAAGTTATGTTGATCCAAAGGTATCGAGGTTTGGGGCTCGCTATTCGGACAAAAACGGGGGAGGATTTCGGGAGTGGATTGAGATCGGTGGGAGGATCTGATCGCAAGTTCGTTTGCCGAAGAATGCGGATGTAACTTTGGAGGAGGTTTTGAGGACGACGATGAGATCAAGGACTCAAGGCAGGGAGCGAAGCCAAGTGAGCGTCCAACAATGCAGTTATATTGTACAGTGAAATGGAATGGTTGAGTCAAGGAGAAAAGAAAAGTCCAGGGCCATCCCCGGTCTATTTGCCCCCATGCCAAGCTAAGCCGAGAAAGGGAACCCTTGGAACCGCCACACGTGAACTTTGCACTTTTTTTTCGGTTCTTTTCTGTCTTTTTCCAATTTTCGAGGAAATAATAGGATCTACGCTAATAGAATCGGTTGATCTTTCCCCATTCAAATTTCCACTTTTTATTCTCATATAGAATTTTGACTCAATTGCCCAACTTTCAAGTGGTGGTTAGAGTGGACAGTGGCTACTGGCTAAAGTGGCTGAGTGGTTATAGTACCCAGATACAAGCTGCAACCGTCTATATTTTCCCACATTCACATCCATAGATCTTTGTAAGAAACAAAAGATGCCCAGGTGCTCGGATGTTTCAATTACCGATGAATCTTCACAGTTTTACGCTAACCTCCGCGGGGGGGAATGTGTTCTCATCTCCAATTGGCCAGTTCTGTTGCGGAGAATCCAGACCCCAAAACAACCTTGGAACTTGGGGGAACCGTGCGTTTGCGTTCATGGTCTCGTGACCTTGACTTCCCAAATATCCGCTATCCCCTTGAATAGGCATGAAAATATGTCCCAACATACAAGTACTTCATACTCCGTATGCATACTTGATATACGAGTGTTCGGTCCGTGCCCCAAGATCTTCCCGTTGCAAATTAGCCGCACAAGCCATACTTCTGAACAAGCGACTAATCACTCCAGAGCATATCATAGTCGTGGTCAAGAATCCGGGGAGTGCTAGTGGGTTGTGGTGAAAATGACAGCCGAGCAATAGTGCTGTTACAACCTGAAACATCCATCCATTCCATCCATACTCCGTAGATATTTTCGACCTGTCATCTTTCTGCACTGCACTCGGCTCTGGAGAGAAACCTCCTAACTTTAGAAAATTGATTTCCTGCACTAGTCCTCTCGGGTAGCACTGTGGACCCCATATCGGCCCGGATCTTATTGTTTTTAATTTTCAGATTCCTCGCGACACTATCGAGAATATTTCAGCGAAGGGGAACTGGAAATTATTGCAATGGGGCTTGTTGTGGGCAAAAGTTAAAAGGTACAAGACTCTATGAGAGCAAACATTATAAATTTGGTCCCGGTGATTACCACTCGAGTCATGGTGGGTGAAAAAAAGAGACTTCACACAAATCCTCTTATGGGTACTGGCGTGAGACTAATGAACTAGGCTCAATTTATACTTACATGGGCAGTCCTTGCAACTTTGCCCTAATTAAACATCATCCCTAGCTGCAATAATCTATTCAACCGTGTCATGAGTAAATAGACACGGTATTCTATGAATTTTATTGCAGGCAAATCAGCGCGATCCCCCCCCCGGCGTTGCCACGCATGAAGGATCCCTGGTGGGGTGTACATTCCCTGACGACCCCACCTATCATTTGATCTCTACATGTCGGCAGCCCGCCATTTTAGGTGTTTGGCTTATTTTCAATGCACTGGGCAAAGAGGGGTATTCAGCTGGTGGGGGGACATATCCCTCATAAGAGAAAGAAAATACATACATACCTAACGCGTTGCCCCTGCAAGATCTTTGCAAATTGCTTCTGACGCTATAAGACTATATTGAACATGGAATCTACACAAGGCAATTTCGACTTTGTCATCGTAGGAGGTAATCATACACCGGACACACATGTTGTCTCTTATACTCATCACTTAAACAGGTGGTCCAGCTGGTTGTGCCCTCGCAGCGGGACTCGCCAAGTCAGCCCAAAGACCTCAAGTCCTACTTCTTGAAGCAGGTGGGCGCAATGATGATAGATCTTTGCGAGTGGATGGAAAGCGCTGGACGACGTTCATGGAAGGGGGCCTGAATTGGGGTTACAAGACCACACCTCAGGAACATTGCAATGGGCGGGAGCTCGACTACTCCCGTGGAAAGGGTCTAGGAGGTGGTTCGGCAATCAACTTCGGGGTCTACACTGTAGGCGCGCGGGACGACTACAATGAGTGGGCCTCTGTGGTAGACGACGATACCTTTGGGTGGAAGGAAATGCAGACCCGCTTCAAGAATTTGGAGACTTTCAATGGTGGTGTCACACTATCGAAGGATCAGAAATATGCCAATCCCATTGCTTCCGACCATGGCAATTCGGGTGCCCTGCGTGTCGGGTATGCAGAGGATTGGGAAAGGGACTTGTCGCTCTCCCTGGATGCATTTGAAGCGGCCGGGCATAAGCTCAACCTGGATCACAACTCGGGTAACCCCCTCGGCATGGCTGCCACTATCAACTCCGCAAGCAAGGGAAAACGCACCACAGCTGTTGACTTGCTTTCGAGTGCTCCTGATAATCTTGTGATTGTCACAGACAGCCCAGTACAGCGGATCTTGTTGCAGGGCAAAAAGGCTGTTGGAGTAGAGGCTCAGGGCAAGCAGTGTATGTCTCATTATGAACTTTTACCATTCACCTCATCTGACGTTCATTACAGACTTCGCTTCTCGGGATGTGATTCTCTCTGCAGGTGCACTTGACACCCCAAAAATCCTAATGCATTCTGGAATCGGACCAGCTGCAGAGCTTGAGAAATTCAACATCCCAGTAGTCAACGATCTCCCCGCTGTTGGCCAGGGTCTCCGAGACCACTACTTTGTTCCTCTGATTTTTGCCCGTAACCCTGAGACAAATGACCGCAATTCGTTCTTCCAAGACCCCGCCGCCATGGAAGCTGCAATGAAACAGTGGGAAGATAACAACACCGGTCTCTGGACCCGGTACGGCTGCCAGGTCGGCTGTGGTTGGTTTAAATCAGACCGCATCACCTCTTCGCCCGAATTCAAGGCACTTCCAGCATCCGTACAGGAATTCATGAACCGCGAAACCATCCCCCACTACGAGATGATCACTCACCTTCCCATTCATTTCATGTTGCCCGATATGTTCAAAGATTACAGCTATCTCGGTCTCGCGGCGTTCATGATGAACGAACAATCTCGCGGCGAAGTACGCCTGCAGTCCTCCGACCCTGAGGTCCCGCTACTATTTAACCCGCGATTCCTGGAGGATCCCTTCGATCGTCGCGCATGTATCGAGATCTACCGACACCTACTGGAAGTTAGTAGACACGAGTCGTTTGCGAAGGACACTGTCTCCACGCTCATCGGGCCCGCGTCTGATTCTGACGAGGACATCCTCCAGTTCTGGAAGGATTTCCTTTCTTCTAGCTGGCACATGACCGGCACTGTCAAGATGGGCAATGCTGATGCTAGTGATGCCGCCGTTGACACACATTTCCGCGTGCGGGGAGTGGAGAACCTCCGCGTTGCTGATATGAGTGTTGTTCCCGTTCTCACCAACAACCACACACAGGCTACAGCTTATGTGACCGGTGCTACTTGTGCTGATGTTCTTATCAAGGAATATGGTCTTGGCCAGTGAATTATAAATAGTATATCATGGTATTGGTGGGTCAAGGTTGTTCGATAATCTCCATCTGCGTTGATAGCTCAAGTCCAGCGTAATTAGGCAATCTTCAAATGGATGAGAACGACAATTTTTCCCAATATATTGTTCAGACTGGACGACTTTCAAGTAGTAAAAGTATACAGGGACTATGTATTGGCTACGGCGAATACTATCACATTATCCCTCTTTATCACATAAATGTTTTGTTTCTAAACCTATCCTGCTGAATAAAAATGCATGCACACCCTGTTTTTGTGCTCCATTACATAGATTCTCAGCATCACGTATAAGTGAACAACTTCACTTGAAGTGACCCGACTTTGTTTTAGCCTGTGAGAATGGACATGTAGCCACACCTCTCGCTTTGATCACATCAATATCTGATCTCATCTCCTCCGCTCCATGCTCCTTCTGTGGCTCCGGCCCGATCGTCATCAAGTCGTATCCTCCTGGTTGATATCGCTCTCCTCGCGACCCGGGCACCTTGCCTCCCAATGCTCTAACCAACAATGCGCCGAGTCCCCATTTTGACCAGAAAGTCGGTTGGACGTACCATGGCTGCAGGGTTTTCCTTTGGAAATTATATAGACGCGTTTCTTGGTTTGGCATGTCGTGCACTAGTTTAACAGCACTGGATGAAGACCGTGGAAGTGCAAGATATCGGAGGAATACTTTCCGTGCTTCTCGGATAAATGTTAATAGGAACCAGAGGACTGGGCCAGGAGATTCAAGACTGCACCCGTTAGTAAAGGAAAGGGTTTCCATAGTTGAATGAGAAACAAAACCTACCAAAGGCTCGTTCTCATGACATCGTCCAAGTCATTACCCAGCATCTTTCGTACAGTCGTTCTTATGAAACCAGGAAGCGACGACAATGCTGAATCAACGTAAATTCGAACATATTGGTCGTTCGTTGCCGTGGGCTTTGCCACTTCTTCCTCATATCGGACTGTCCACTCTATCAATTCAATCGCAAAGTGCAGACCATTTTTCCATCCATCGCTTTTTGAAGGAAGCGGATCAAAGGGGATTCCCATGTCTTCTCCCAGGTTCTTGTGAAAGATACCGAGAGCACATTTTTCAACGTCAGTAAGCTTACGCCATTCTTCTCTTTCAACAACAGTCACGATCTCGGCAAGACCGTCACCCAGAGTATGGAGGAGATCATTATCCGTTATTTTGCTAGCACGACGGTAACGAGCATGACTAACAAACCCCCAAGTCAGCCAAAAGTAAAGGACACTTATGCTCACCCTGGAGTAAAGGCAAGATAATTTCCGTGGTGCATCCAACATACAGATAATTCATTCTAGCCACGGCTGATGCATAACGATCAGAATCCCGAGGTTTGGACTGCACCTCTCGCAAGAGGATTTCCGTATCAACAGCACGCTTGCCCGAATTTCGCTTGTTGTTTTGGCCTGTAACCGCGAAGAGTTTAGACATAGTCGGGATACCTCCAGCCTAAAATGACACGTGAGTTTAGTGGCATTCCCGATGGTGTTGTTGAACCGAACACAAGTTTCTATCGTACCTTCAATAGAGCCATTTTGCGAGCTTTAGAAAACGCATGTGGAAACTCGAGCTCTTGCAATTGGTTCAATATATCATGTGCTTCTTTGACTGTCATTTCTGGCAGGTCTTTCCTGCCAGATGCGAATGGGGCCTCAATCTTCACCATGCGGCTGTATCGAAGAAGTCGAACCAGTGCTATATAGCTAGTAAAGACAATGGCAATCGTCAGCCGATGTTTGCTCCATAATTCACAGAGCAAGCCAGTGGCGTCCGACATTCTGTCAACGGGAATTTGAAGCATTCGTTCTGTGTCACAACATGGTAAGCATTCGGCGCTAAATTGAGGTCTCGCATTTGCCAGCTTGCCGTCTGAATCTTGTATCTGTGAGTTGTATGAGGCTTATAGATTCCCTCGCCCTGCGATTCTAGATGAAGAAATGTCTTAAGATTATAGAGGATTTTTGAGACATCTTATATATGGCAAGGAAGAACAATTCTAGTTGCCGAGGCACCTGGTTACAGTGGATCACTAACCCAACAAAAACTCATGGTGAAATTTAGGAATGTGAGATATTAATGAACGACATATTGTTGGGCTTGCAATTCTCAAACGAAATATGCTTAAAACGTTGGAAACTTCTGGTGGGACCTCGGAGGTTGATCACGGTGATAATGTAATCAATTAGGGCTCTGGGCAGATACAGGTGAAAAAGATGGGCCCTGTCTACATGGTTGAAATAAATGAGTTGAATATCATCATTTGCTATGCCTTCATTGCCAAACTCGACGGTATGATGGACGCTAATAAATTACATTAGACCTTATTTCCTTGGTTTCTAAACCTACTACCGATCTCCATCTTTGATCAAGATGTATTAAATGTCATTTAAGATAAATTTCGCATCAAGGCTGAGTGAAAGGCAGTTTCAACATCGGATCGTCGGAAACCGGGTGCTCGTCCTAAGATAGCCACCCCGCGAAGGAGTGCTAGCATTCTTTTTCAGTAACAGGCTTCGACGTGATATCAGTTCGAAAGCTCACCTATCAAGAAGGATTCAAGGTCGAGTACCCAACACTCTGGTTGCCGAGGTAATGCTGCCACTATCATATATGTGTACCGTGAGTTCAAGTGTTTCTGGTAAAGGGAGACCAACTTACCAGTCTGGATTTCGGAAGATGATATATGTTGAGTGTCCAATAAACCAGATTCAAGCTCAGAATTACCAGGACTCGGTGCTAGATTATGCACTGTGGGAAATGAACCAGGTCCGTCCAAGTCCACGCCTTTCTCTCTAAGATATCCTTCCACGTCGGGACAATCAAACCACTGCCCACCGAACCCACAAAGCTCAAGATTACTCTGAGCCTGTTGGGCAGAATTCGAATCACCGAGAATCCCGGGCATGGGTAGAGTACCGAGTATTCTTCGAGGGAGCCTCATCTTCGGTGGGTAGATGGGATTCCCATTTTTGTCTTTCGTCGCATAATGTGTTCCAGCTCCTCCAATACCATAAAATGGTAGTGCAGAAATCTCCAATGAACTACCTCGTTCAGAACTGACCAGATCCCTAAAGTAAGGGTACATCTTTGCCCGATCCCTGAAACAGGGGACGAGTCTAAATACTCGGAAGACTTCAAGCGGATCAGAGCGTGCATCACTAAATATTCGAAAGGCATGCTCTAGGCTGGATCGTTTGAGTCTTCGGGTGAAGGAACTTTCCAGAGATGAATAGGAATCAGGAACATTGGCTCCACCAAATCGGTCGATTCTTTGCACAATGGGTTGGTCATAATCTAATCTCCTCTGTTCCTGCATGACAGGTGGAGATAGACAAAGAAATATCTCTCTGGTTTCTTGGTGCGGGCTGACCTCGGTTTCCGGGGGCGTTTCAATGCATGTGGAGCTTCGTTCGGCAATAGAGTAGTGACCCGAAATAGTATCATTGGTGAAATGCTCATCATACTGGATGTTCTTGGATGGCTGCGGGATGGACTTTTTGCAATTTTCCCTCAATGAAATCTCGTTGATACTAGTTTCCTGAACAACGTCCTCAGATGAACTAGTAAGAAGACTCAGGATACTGTCAAAATCCCTGAGAAGTTCGCAATGGCTATCTTGAAGACTAGATTGAAGACTTATTCTGTAGTCCGCAAGCAGATCTGCAATTTTTTTCATCTTATGTTCGAGAAAAACCACTTGCTTCTGGGATTGTTGTAGACTTGCTTCTTTCTTCAGTCTATAGGTTTTCTGAGCACGGCGGATTTGGCTTCGCCGATCCTGCGCGGGGAGTCAGAATGTATACTCTCCACTGTTTTCTTATTAATTGCATGGAAACCAAATACCTCAGAGAGTACAGCTTCCCCGGGCGCATCGAGCCTGCGCCTACCCGCACTCCTTGGTGGACGCTTTTGAGGCTTAGTTGCCGAGTCCGACATGTTGATTCATCCGATATAGGTGTGCGCTGGATCAAGCTAAATGGTATTCTATGCTTAGTTCCAAAATCTTTGTATAGGCAGGCATTGGACAATGAAGTGAGCATATTCTCGGTCTCCATATGTGGAAAGCCCTGGAGGCGAAGTGGTGATAATGTAATCTGCCTCGGTCCCCACAATATACTATGGATAGTTGAGTAGTTGGGATGGATACACCAATTGGGTGAGAATGTTGGGCCGGTTCAATGAAATAGTCAATGTCTCTCTCTAATTGTTGATTGAATGAATATTCAAAAAAAGAAAGGGAAAAAATATTGTCACGACCTCGACGGACAAAGGAGATTCCCAGTTTTTTTTTTCCTCCCGAGGTATTTCCGATGCAACGTGACATTTCGAACTGTTGTCTTATACAACAGATGTATAGTTACAGACTGATAAGCACATGTACATAGGTAAGTCTGAGCGCTTCGCCTTAAAGGACTGTTTCAGGCAGGTTTTATTTCAATGGGTTAGTTAAAACAATGCCTGAGGACACCGAATGCAACTAGGATACTGCGAAGTACAGCCCAGCCCACCCAAAGCCGCTAGCACGGAGCACCTCAAAAGCCCCAGATCGGACTTGAATTTACTCACAAGCTTGGCACTGGGCAATATAATAAAATTCCTCTTAAAAGAAGTGGCATAGGGACCTCCCACCAGGCGGCGAAAGCCCGCTGGGTTCTGTATGTCCACAGTTTGTGATTAGTCCGATTGAGCAAGAAAACAGATGAATTGAGTTGAAAATTGAGTTGAAGTATGAGACGAACGAAGTAATAATGGACTCCCCCTCAATCTACCACAATGGAGGTAAAAAAATCTCAAAACACCACCGAAGAACGAAGCCGAAATCAAGAGTATGGAATCACTCACTGCGCCACACACCATTACGCAAAAGGGGAACATGACATAATAGTAAAGACAAAGGGCACAGGAGATCCAGAAGAACAGGCGAGATAGAACAAATGTTAAGTGTCGTAGAACGTAACGTAACACCGAAGCTGAATAAAGAACGAAGGCAAAAGACACAGATGCGGGTATCGAAAGGTGATCGCAAAACGTTGGCAATCAATATGGCGATGAAAACGGCATTAATTGACCATGGGAAGACCGTGCGAAACTTCCTGCTTGTTCACACCATCATTTCCATCCTGGTTATCATCCGTGCGCACCCGCTTATTCTGTTGGAAGCTGTTGTTGTTGAGGAAGGTGGCGTCATCTGGGTGCTTACGCATGCCAAGTGTCGCAGCAGCGATACGGTTCAGGGAGTTCATGTCATCAGAGACGGAACCGGGGTGTTGTCCCTGGGGACCCGGGGTGGGCACCGAGCCGGAGGGGCTGGAGTTCTGGACTCCGGCAGAGGCAAGCGCCATCTCGGTGGTGCGAGGCTGGCTCAAATCAATATTGGCAGGCAGCTCGGGGACTTCACCCTGGGCTTCAAGGAGACGAGATTGCAAGTTGATAATGTATTCGCGCAGCTGGTAGTTCTCGCCGACCAGAGACTTGACCTGGTCCTTCAGGGGGTCGATATTCTTCACCTCTTCCTCAAGCTTGCGGATGTAGGTTTCCTTGCGCTGGCGGAATGCGCGCTTTTATGGTTATCAGCGAAGTACTTTGTGTACGGTATCAAAAAAAAGACATACCTGAGCAGCACGGTTCTGGGCAGCGCGCTTGGAAGTCGAAAGCTCACGCTTTCCGTAGCTCTTGGAGCCACCGTCAGATGGGGGAGAACCCTGGGGTTGAGTGGGGGTTTGGGGCGCGCCGAGCATGGCTCCCGAGATGGCGGGGTCAATGTTTGGCTGGTCACGGGGGCTAGCATTGTTGGGCTGCAAGTGCTGTTGTTGGCCCGGAGCACCCTGGGGGCGACCGCCGAGGTGGTGTTGAGCAGCTAGCAGCTGGTCATGAAGGACTATAGAATCATGTTAGCAATGGGGAACAATCACGTGCGACGCGCACCCTAATTTGCCCAAGTGAGATGAGAGGAGATCGGGGGGTGGTAGATTCCAGTTGTTCTGAAACCCACAGATCCACAAAGCCCTCAAATGTAATGGCTCTAAACTAGTCACGTACCCTGGTCTGCGTGATCCTATGGTGAAATGTTAGTATACGGATCATCAATAACAGAATGAACGATATAGATGACGCGGCAAAGCTCGAGAGACACACGACGCGTCGTGGTGACATCGAGTCTCGTTCCTCGACATCGCGACATAAGCATCGCGCCATAAGCGTCGCGACAATGTCCAAGGTATCGAGGGAATAGTCGTCGTGGGACCTTTATAGATCTGATGACAAACACGCGTTCAAGATGATCTGCTTACCTGAGCAGAGGTCTGCATGCTTGGATGCGGCGCTGGCGCCAGTGCAGGTTGCATTGATTTAGGATAAAGGGGATTGGTGGTGAAATGGAGCAGTGACTTTGCACAGAACTCTTAGGTCGACAACAATTGAGAGCAAAGAGGGCTACTTTGCTGATATCAAAATACAGTTAAAATGAGGTAAGCAGTTACAGATCCGATGCTGTAAGCAAGTTGATGGCGGGCCCTGGAGGAGGAGGAGGATTACTTAAGGATTCTGAGTCAGAGGATTTGGGGGCCTGCGGGCGATCGTCGATTTATGTAAGGTGTTGGTAAGCGAAGTGTTTGCATCAGGCAAGCGGTGAGTCTGATGGTGGGTTCTTCCCCCGGAGTTTATCACTACACTTTTTGCTATAAAACTGGCTTTGATACCACATTTACAAAACGTGATTGGGTTTAACGACGATCTCATGATGGCTAGTCGTATCCCTCCAATCGAATTATGTCGTCGTGCATATGAACATGTCTACGAGGAGGCTCATTGCTGACTATATTCCGCCCGCATCCGGTCTCGGAACGCGTTTACATATTCCCGAACGAGTCAGCATGACATCATTATCAATGCTTATCCCGACATCGCTGCCTGAGGCACAAAACCAACTAGACAATCATTCAATTCAATTGGGGACAACTCAAAGCGTAAATCGAACCAATTCGGTGATTATTATGTACCTGGACATCGCGTAGTAAGTTAAACTTCTACAATCTCATAATCTCGTATCTACCCCCAGAAAGCACAGTCAGCCCCTCACATCCCCGGCACCCTGCCCCTACATTCTAGCTCTGCGCAACTCTGAAGCACTACTGTTGCTTCTTCACGCTACCGTTGGTAGGCTGTGCCTGTATAATTCCAGCTCCAATCTTCGCTGACTCCATCCAACCTCGCTGGTGCATCCAGAAACGGGTTGCGGGGTCGGCGCCGTGCAAAGACGCACGCCGAGCATCATTTTCAAGAGAGGTGCGTGAGATATCAGTTAACTGAGCCACAGACGTGATTTCGTCCTCGTCCTTTTCCTCATCCGCCTCGGCATTGGTTGTCGACTCAAGATAGCGCTTGCGCATGAGGTAACGGTCAGTGCGCTCCTTGCGGGAATTGGGAGGCTCAATTCTGGCCATACCAGCCCGCACAGCATACCGCACAATAAGATACAGATGTTCCGAAAAGAAGATTGTCAAAAGCAGAGCCCAGCCTTTGATATCTGTCGGCTCGCCGTTGGGCCCGTGCTGTGCGTTGCCACTGAACATGTAGACCAGGGAGGCGCTCGTGATACTTCCGACCCAGGAGAGGAATCCCAGGCTATCGAGCCAGGGTCCAATGGTGTCAGTCCGCAATGGCACAGGTCTGCGGAACTCCATGCAAATCTTGAAGAAGTCTGATCGCAACTCGACCCAGTTGTTCACAAAGAAGGAGAGGGGGACAAGCGGCCATGTGGGTGAGAAGAGGGCCAAGTATCCAAATTGAATACACATCTCACGTAGATCATCAGTCACATCGTACTCGGACAGCTCAAGCTCGTTACGCACACGCGTGAGGAACTGCACTTCCTCGGCCGGATCATCGAAGGACACGGCGGGTCTTTCGGGTGATTCCTTGTCGCCATTTCGGTCAAGCTTACCATTGCGCTCCTTGTTGTACTTTTTATATTTGCGGAGTGCATGCTGTTTGATATAGGGCACGATAGTCTCCATGGCGAAGCCAACGATCTGGGCTGTGACAGTGAAGTAAACAACCTGGTTTCGCAGGCGAGCTGGATCGATTTGGAAATGCGATCGCTTTGAGGTGGCATGTTCCTTTGACACAAAAGGTCGGACTGTCAAGCGGAAGACATCGAGGTAGGGGACAATTCGGCTAGCAAATGGCACGTAGACAAAGGCCGTCAGGAAAATTGGCATATAAGACGTGATGAAGTTGATAACAAAGACCTTCTGGGTCAATGCAGCATCGTACGCATCATTTGTCTCATGGTTCTCGTAGTCGTTAAGCTTCGTTGCGATAGACGTCAAAATAGCGCTCATGGTTGGCACAAGGGCCGATACAAGGATGGTTGGGATGAAGATCTGAAGGGTAAGCTTTAGTAACAAGAGATAGGGAGGATCATCATACCAAGTATGTCTTCAACGGACCATTGTAGAGCTCCGAGATGAAGATCTCAATGGCAAAGCAAGTCGCAATGATAGCACCCAAAGCAATTGCTGCAACCAAGGCGAACGGGATTTGAAGCAGCTGCCGTTGCATGCGCTTAGTTGCCGGGAAGACACCGCGCATTTCCCCGGTACCCTCATCGCAGACCTCCTTTTCCGCCTTGAACTCTCGTCGCTTAGTCCGAACAGCCGAGACATTCTTGGTCTGCCACCTGCAGCTCAAATCAAGCTCCTGGCGCTTCCAGTATTCCACAAAGATAATACACCAAAGACAATTAACGATAGTATAAATAATCGAATATCCGCCGAGCAGGAACCAACAAGAGAATCCAAAGACAGCCGGGAAAATCAAAAACCGGAAGTATGACTGCAGGAACGCGAAGTAAAATCCAACCTGCCATCTATGTTAGCCAGGCCAAAAAAAACAACAACAACCACAACTGCACATACACTTTCTCCAAACTTGTTCCGGATCTGATCCAAGTCATCATCGGAGAGGAAAGTCTTCGAGCTCCAGTCTCGTATCCACTTTTTATTTGTATCAACATCATGAAGAGGGAATATAGCAGTGACGTTCTTCCATTCGCCATGATTGGGGGTGATAGCGGCACCACCCTCTTCCTTGGGAAGTGTAATCATCTGGTTGATCACCCGCAGGCGCTCAGCCTCGGTCTGGGGTTCAGTCGAATTGGAAGGTGTGGGCTCAGCATTGCGAATTCCATACAGCCAGTCGCGTACTCTGTGGAAATACAAAATCAAAATTAGCACATTGACACAGAACAATTATCCCTCATCACTCACCGCGACCGATAGACCGCCCGTTTCAGCCGCTTTTCCGAAGCTTTCACAAAAACGAGCAAAGACGACTCATCGCCTTGTCGCACCTCGACCTGAAGACCAACTTGGGCCAGTGCTTGAAGCAGTTTTTCTAGCTGCTCAATTGCCTGCGATCGGTCTGAAATTATTAGACTGTGTCCCCGCGCCACATCCTAGAGCCACATCCTATAGCTCTCTTTTACTCACCTACATCTCCGAAGCTGTAACGGATAACATAGTCCACATGGAGATTATACTCCTGGACATTATCTGGAATTGTCGTCATCACTGGGGGTGTTGAAAGAAGAAAGAATGTGGAACAGGCAAATCGAGGGGATCTGCGGGTCAATGCCGTCACCTGGCGCTAAAGTGCTTACGACGCAACTAGGATGCTTGTTTTATAATATTCAATTACATTGAGATTGGAACCCTTGGATTTGAATATATTTCATTTTGATTTCATAAATACACACACACACACACACACACACATATATATATATATATATATATAATTGAGCCATATGTAGCTGTGACCATAGATATTTGCTAAACATACATGTATAGCAGCCCACTTTCACCCTAAATCTGCAATAAGCTATACTTTGAATGTAAATAAATCACTCTGAAGCAATCGACCTGAATGCCTGTTGTAGTATTATACAAAAACAATCTCCTAGTCCTATCCCACCCGACACCAACCCATGCATCCCTCTACGCATCCTGCGCCAAACGAGTCAACGCATCCCCTTCAACCATCATCTTCATCCACTCATCCATACCGCGCGCACCAACCTGCTCATAGAACCTAATACTAGGCTCATTCCAGGTGAGCACACTCCACTCCAACCGCCGACCTGACACCTCAAGCACCTGCTTAGCAAGGTACTTAAGCAACTTGAAGCCGTACCCATGACCCCGCGCGCTTGGTTGCACATATAGATCCTCGAGGTAGATACCAGGGGCAGATCTCCAGGTGGAGTAGTTGTAGAAGTACAGGGCCATGCCGACGGGGATTGGGTTGGGAGTGTCGGCGGTAGGCGGCGGGGTAATGAGAGCTGTGTAGACGGCGCCGCGTTTGGGCGGGGTATCGGGGAAGGAGAGGGTTGCTAGGAGGGATTCTTCGGTGGCTTCGACTTCATGGAGGGCTTTCTCGTAGTCGGCTAGTTCGCAGATGAATTGGAGGATGAGGGGAACATCTATTTAGTGTTAGTTGGGGTGTGTCTGTGCTACGCGCGAAGCTCGGTGGTCAATGCACTTGCCCTCGGGGGTTGCAAGACGAATGGTGGGTTGATCGGCCATGGTGTTAGAGAGAGGACGTATGTAATCCATGACAAAGTACAGAACTTCAGAGGATTTTTTTAGTTTCTTGGGCTTTTGTACTTGCTAGTATATGCGCGCCCTTCAAGACAACCCCGAGATTTTACTATGCCGGATTAGGCAATATTACCGATTTTCTTTAGATGTTGAAGTCAACTTTATTTTATATGGATTTTTCAACTTGCCTCGAGTGATAAAGCCTTATATCTCGATTATTTCTTGACAGGTTAAGGGATATCCATGGATAAGACAAGGTGTTTTTTTTTTTTTTTACTTTGATAGAGGAACACATTATTATCTCTACAGAATGATATTGTACAGAGCAACGGACTTAGATATGCAATCCACGCCCATGGGTATAAACGCCAATTATTTGGACATGATGGCCGACATCCACTTTTGCTCATCGGTTCTATGTTCGTTAGTGACCATTGATAGAAAGAAGGTTCAGTAGGAAACTCACCGATCGAAATGGAGCAACATTCCTAGAACGGGGATCAGCTGCTTCTGGTAGTTCTTATCCCTCTGTTCCAAAAATTGGAGAAGGACATTCTTCAAGTACATGTAGTCAATGGATGCATTGCTGGGTGGGCCGAGGGGAGTCTCGCTCTTGCCAGGGGATACGACGGCCCGGCGGGATCCTGAATCCATCGATGACCGCGAGGATTGTCGACCGGACGGGGAGCCACGCAGGCGGACGTCCTCTCCGAGGGTCTTGTGGGATTTTCGAAGCTTCTCTAGTCGGTTGTTTGTCTCTTCCACTGAACGACGAAGCTCTGCCTTTTCCTTCTCGAGGTCACGAACTTGCTTCTCACTTTCGTCGAGGGCATCACGTAGACCAGCCATGGCCTGTCGAATCTCTGCCACTTCCTGTGATGACTTTTCGGATACTGACTCGAGCTCATCGCGACGGCGGCGCCAGTCCTTTTGGGACTGTTCAAGCTCTTCCTTGTCCTGTTCTGCCGTGCGCAGGGCGCGCTCGGCTTCACGGACCTTGCCTTTAAGCTCTTCCATCTCACGAGCACGGCGACGGCCTTGGGTGCTGGCCTCATCTTCGGCACGATCTCGCTCTTCAATAGCAGCCTCCATACGTTCCTTGAAGTCTCGCACCTTGGCCTCCGAACGACCCTCGATATCATTGAGCAAACGGCGCATAGTCTCGCCTTCGCGAGTTCGCTCGCTTAGCAGACGGTGAGCGTCAGCCAATTCTTCATCCAAGCTCTCACATCGCTCACGGGCCTCCTTCATTTGCATTGCAACTTCCGTGGTCTGGTCACGCATACTATTCAAAAGACTCTGGGCGCTGCTGTGCTGTGCTGTCTTTAGCTTGATCTCATCTCGAAGGCCTCCGAGTTCTTTGTTCAATTGGGAAATCTGTTCGTCCATCTCCCGCACCTTAGCGCGAGTGCTCTTTAACCCATCTTGGGCCTTGGAGAGGTCGCCTGCAGTCTTGTCTCTGGCGTTGATGGCATCTTGCTTTTTGCTCTCGGCAGAACGCAGATTAGATTGGACAACAGTAAGGTTTTCCTCCGCCTTCAATCGGCTGTCGGTCTCCTGTCGGATCTTCTTATTGAGAGTACCCACTTCTGCGTCACGCTCTGAGATCTTTGACTTAAAGGCCTTAAGCTCAGCACGCAGATCCTCATGCTTGCCCTCAAGGGCCTTCAAGTCGGAATTCTTGCTGCTAAGAGTTTCTTTTAGGGCCTTCAACTCAGAAGACTCAGCACGTAGGCTGCGCAGCTCGGGTTGAACCTTCTGCAGAGTTTCACGAAGGTCTGTAAGGTCTTTGAATCGAGTGGCAGCCAACTGCTGGGCGGCGGAAAGATCTGTCTCCAAGGTAGCGGAGCGGACCTTGAGGTTATCGAATTCCTCTTTGAGTGACGCGTGCACCTTCTCCGAGTCAGCTGAGGTCGAAGCGTTGCTAGTGCGGAGTTCCGCCAATTCCTTCTCCAGCTTGCTGATGGTATCTTCAAGAGAGGTTTTTTCTGCTGAAAGCTCCTTGATCTTGTCCATGGCTGTCACATGCTCCTGGCCGATGTTGACAAGGTCATCGCGCAGGGACTCAATCTCCTCCTTCAAATTGTCCTCGCCTTTCAGCTTAGAACTAAGACGGTCAATGGCGGCCTCCTTTTCGGACAATTGCTGGGTGAGGGATTCGATCTTTTCCTTGAGTTCATCCAGCTCTTTGTTAGCTGGGGCAGGCACCTCTGCGGGCGATTCCTCTGCAGGAGCTATATCAGCCGGCTTAGAAACTTCCTCTACCTTGCCACCCTTCTTCTTCTTTTTGTTCTTCTTCTTCCCTCCGCTGCTGCCACCAGCAGTAGATTGAGCAGGCTGTGTCTCTCCTTCCGTGGGGGCAGGAGCAGGAGTAGGGACAGTAGAAGCGGATTCTTCCTTGGCCGGTGCCAGGGTCTTCACAACATCTTTGAAGTCGGCCAACTGCCCAGCGAAGACTTTCTCCTTAGCAGACACCCACGCCGTGTTCTCTTTCAAGCTCTCATCCACAAACTCGAAAATGTCTTGTAGTTTAGCAGTATGTTCGCACCTCTCGTCGATTTCAGTCTTCAGTTCCGACACGGTAGATTCGCTTTCCTTAAGCTGAGATCGGAGGCCATCAACCAAACCCTGGAGCACAACAAGCTTTTTCCCGTCGGCTTTCTTCTCCTCCTTAGTCGTTTCCAACTGAGCAGCGAGGTCCGAATCAGGCTCGGCTCTTTCAGAGGCCTGTTTCTGGAGCTTTTCGATTTCCTCGCTCTTCTCCTTGAGCCGTGATTTAAGCTTATCAACTTCGGACGTGGTTGATTTGAGAGAGGATTCCGCAGTTGCTAGCTTCGCCTTCAGGTCATCGACATCGGCCTTCTTGGAGGTTTGCAGAGTCTCAATCTCAGCATCCAGGTTGTCCTTAGTTTCGCGCAGCTCGACGAGCTCTCGGGTGGCTGTCTCCAAATTCTGCACCATGCCTTCCGTCGACTCGCGGGTGACAGACATATCGCGCTTGAGGTTTTCGACCTCGGTTTTGAGGTTCTCAACTTCTTCTTGCTTCTCCTTCAGTTCCCCTTCCAATCGGGGAACTTCTTTATCAAACGAAAAGAACTCTTCACTGGCATGTTCCCCGGCGCCGTCTGTGCCCTTAGTTGTCTCAGTCTTAGGCTTCTCATTTTTGAGGCCTGTAACCTCATCCAAAGCCTCCTTGGTGGCCTGCTGTGCTGCTTCGAACTTCTTTCTGAAGTCTTCTCTTTCTTCGGTGACGCGCTTCAGCTCTTCCATGACCATGTCGCTTTTCAAGGTTGATTGGTTGAGGTATTCTGTGAAAGCCTTGGGTTCGCTGATTGAAGTGAGCGGGGTATTCTCGCGCAGGGCAGCTTCGAAGGGTTCAATAGATAGGACGCGCGAGTGAGCGGTGCGATAAGCCTTGAGCAATTCTAATACGCTCAGTCAGTCTTGCGCTACAGTCTGATTATGTAGATGCATACCATGGTATCGGGACTCTAGCTTATCAAGTCGTCGGAGTTTCGCGCGAACATCAGGTGGAAGAACAGCCGGAGTCTCCTTAGCCTCTGTCTCTTGCCCTGTCTCGTTCTCGGACTTCTCCGCCGGTTTGCCTTCGGCCATCTCGCTACCTCCCTCGTTGGAGGCGCTTACTTCCGAAGCAGCCTCTGGTGTATCTGCTCGGGGGGTACCAGATCTGCTGGATTCATCATCACCGATAGTGAATTCAGCCTCAAACTCCTTGGGGTCGGGCCCTCGAATGGGGGTACCGGTATTGCGTCGCGGACGGGAGGGCTGGTTGCGTCCGGGTGGACGGCGAGCGGAGTTGGAGCGTTCGATATTCTCTTGGGCGGACTTTTGACGTGCTTGTTCCTCTGCAATGCGAGAGTCGATGGCGTCGCGGAGCCGCTGTGACAGGTGTTAGCTAGAGAGGCGCATCATCAAAAGGGCGAATAGGTGTGTACCTGAAACATTGCC